AAACACTATGGATTTGACTCAAACGGTTTGACTGAGTTAGACTGTGACAAATCCTCAGCTGGAGTCTCGGTTGAAACGATCCTCGAGAATTTCGTGGACGACTCCTGAGTTATGCATACAAGACTCCTATCGAAATTAGATTTCTTCAATTAACTCCGACACACAGCGAAATCAGAGTACATGAATCATATCTAAGAGTCCATAATATAACTCGTCGAAAATAGCAGGTGATAAGCCTTTCTAATTGACAAATCAACATCATTGCTTCGGATCTACATTGGGAGGGGAAAAATGACGTCGAGACTAAAAAACAGATTGCGTTCTTGATACAATCAATGAAAGGAGAGATAAAATGAAGCCTATGTCCGATCTGACTCAAGAAGTGCCAAAACGAGTTTGGACTGGCTGATTTGGTTAGGCTGGGTAGTAGAGTTAGTACGACTGGGAACCGAATCGTCCAGAATAACCTCTCACAGGGTGAGGTGAAATCTACCACTAACAACTTTCTTCGCATTACATAATTATAGAGAAACTCTTGCGGTGACATTTACTTGCTCGTCAACAACGTGATGCACTAGTGAAATAGACCAAACATCCACCTTTAATGAAGTTGCCACGAGCCAGGCGACGAATTTCAAGGACAGCATAATCAATAGGCTCGGGGCTTAGCCTAAGACTCTTAGGTCACGAACAGATCTGGTAGAATCCAGTCCGGGTTCGGCAGCATTGATGATGACGGGTACCAACGTATTTCACACACATATGGACGGCTAATGGAGTGCCCACAAGTAAGATCAACGTTTTCAAACCGAACTGCTGTCTTCTCGCCTAGCAATGATATTGTGTAGTTTCCCTTTACCAAGGGAGCGAACAACAGTAATTCGTCCTTGGCAAAATCAATCATGTAGAAATCCAAGGAACTAAGAATGAACCAAGCCGCCATCTCACCGTTGTCTTCATCTCCTGACTATACATCAGGGGAATCCCCTGATGGATCCCCTGAGGGGATCCATCAGGAAGTTCTACTGTAGAACCGTTCTACCATCTGAGTAGTATACACCCTCGTGACGAGGGCCTCGTCGGCAGCCGACCGTATCTTGCGTTCTGCGAGTACGTTGTCTCTCATCCCTGATCTGCAACAAATTGTGACCGTATTGACCAAATTCTTCACTTGTGAGTCCTAACTCGTTCTCTTCGTGAATCACACCGCGGTTATCACTCGTGTTACACGAGTCGTGTAAACTGGACAGTGTCCAGTGGACACACCTGTTCACTAAAGTGCCTTTCAAAGTGCTCACAGGCTCTGAGTGCACCGAGTGCTTTCCGCCCACCATACTTCGTGATGAGGAAGTCCACGTTGAAAGGCGCATAAAAGCGATACTGACTTGCCAAAGCCTCAGTAAAGAACTCAGCTGACCGCGATGACGGGTCGAACGCATGCTCTCAGTGTTGAAGGACATCTCCAGGGCATTTTGAGCTCTGCTATAGAGGACACCAGCATCAAAATAGTGTCCTAATTTGAACGCTGCTGCTACAATCACAGAGTCGGCCTCGGCGAAATTAAGGATTCTCGATACGACCTCGGACACATTTGATTGAACAGGAATGTATCTGAAATCAATGATTTCATATTCACCAAGGAGTCTCGGGAACAGCATAGCTCGATAGAAACTGGTATAAAAAGTTCTCAAAAATTTACTGTTTTGCTGTACTGTATCATAAGTAACCAGACTTAGGCGTGTTTGCCATACGTCTTCACCTTCCCTCACGAAAATATCAAAGTTCTTATACAAAGGTAACTTCCTCGCCAAATTTACTTGAGCTTGTTCATCAGAAATAAAAGAAGTAGCGATACTATCGCTACTTCTTTTACGTCCCCATGCGACTCGTCTACAATTTACGTCTTCACCGTGTGTTGGAGATCTTGCTAAACATGAGGGTCTTTTGACGCACGACTATATCCATGTAGCTTGAAAATATCGATATTCTATCAATAAAAAGCTTCATCATAAGACGCCGCGCAACAGTGATCGTTCTCCACTATCGGATATGAATCGTGACTGATCCCCGGGCCGTTCAGACCTAGAGTTACTGAACTTCCTCCTCTTGGCGAGAGTTTTCAACAAGGTTTCAGTTGGTTTGCCTCGGCTCAGGGAATGCGAGGTAGCAGCTGATCTCGAACTGGCCTCAGTAGAATGCTAAACCAAATGCCACAGGTCATTCTATCATTGCATCAAGCCTCTTCGTTTCCACCCGTATTGAGCGACTAAGGCGATTGCCATTCAGAAGCGACTGCCTCGTCTCTTCCGAAGCGGTGCACAATGCTCAAGGTTCGGCAGGGAGTCCCTTCAAGGGACATCGGCTTCTACCACTAAAAGCCACTAATCAGCTCTGAGAAGAGATCGGGGAAGAGAGAACAAGCACTATTCTACTTAACTCGTCAAAGGCTAAGCCTGAGATTTCACGTTTTTTTGTCAGAAGCGGGTGTTGGTACAGACTGACTCGTGCAGTGTTGTGAACACTTATCACTGGCTGGGCAACTTACGGTTTTTCTATCAAAAAGGACTGCTTGGGGAGAGGTCGGGTCTGCCATGATCGTGCCATTTCGACGGCTAGATGGCGTTTTTCGTATGTTATTGGCGATACTCAGGGCATGTAATGAACAGTCTTCGAGAGAGCGCCTCAACCGAAATCACTGGCCCATCCTTCCCATTTTCTACATGATAGAAGGTTTTTACGATTTTTGTATCAAAAATACCCGTGGGGACAGATTGGAGTGACTGAAATCCAGCAGCGCCCCAACTGCAAGTTTCCCGGGAATGAGTCAAACTCCTTGCAAGAAAGCTCCTCGTAATGTGCAAGCCGCCAACGAGACACCGCCCATGCTAGAAGTCTACGACTGGAGCACGTGGGATTGGTACGCGACCGACGACTATGGTCCGGACTACCGGAGTTTTTCGCCCGTGTCGGCATCATCTCCGGTGAGAGAGGAGGGACTGAAGGATAATTCAATAGGCGAAATCGGGGAGAGTGCAGTAAATGAGACTAGCTCGGTGTCATCTTGACCAGCTCATAACGAGGCCTATGATATTCCAAGGTGTTTTTCAACGCCATTTCAGGCTTACCACATTCCCCATAGCTACAGTTACTGTAGTACAGTACAGAGTCTGTACTGCAGACTGTACTGTGAAGTGACTACACCAGCGAATGCCCGTCTTGTTGTGTTTCTTTCTACATGGTCTTGCAATGCTGTTGGACTCCTCCTTTGTTCTGGCTTTGCAGCCTTGCTGTAATGAGCTCGATTTTATGGTCAGGCTGTCCAGCCTGGACAGTCCAGGACAGCCGCCCCACGGCGTGGCTCGACATCGGGAAGACTAGTTTGTGTTTCTTCATTTAACCAAGCTACAGATACTTGTGCAAACAGACTCAGTAGAGTTATAGGTGGAGAGATTCTTTGACTTGACAACGCTGTCAGTGTCAGTACATGCTGACCAAAGCTGGCGAGAAGGGGCATCAGCAGGGTTACTAGGAGGCCGTGGGTATTGAGACTAGATGAGAAGACTATAATGTACAATACCCCACAAGCAGCCACGCCAGCGGTTCAATATTAGACTCTTCGCACTGCCTACGGGCAATATGTTTAATACATGGAGCATCAGTGAAGAGAATTGTACTGATAGTTACTCATATACTGATCTTTTAGTTGCACCAAATTAGCGATGAAAGTAGGGCATGCAGCTATAGCAAAGGTTTCATACAAATGAATGAGTTATTTTGAGACTGGTGATCTGACTGAGGACCGTTGAGGTATTGGTCTTGTGGAAAATCAAGTCCCAGTTGACGGAGTGCACACACTACGATAATTCACGCATGAGATTCGCGTGAGGTGCCGGTGACACCAAAGTCATAGGTAGTTGTGATACCGCATTGAATGCGACGCATTCTAAGATTATGATCACCCGTCGCATATGCGGACAACACAATTATTAAACACCGAG